CCGATCACTGCTCGTGTTTTAACGAAACGTGATTGAAGTTGAGCATTTGAAAGCACATTTGCATGTCTGGCTGTAGCTGAACGTGTAGAGATGCTCGCTGTTAGTTCTTAGCTCCCAGCATGTTCGGGTTCGAATGCCGTCAGAGGCAACATGTAATTTTTAATTTTTGTCTTGGTTTTTATTAATTTCGAAAAAGCATTTGAGAAGTGAAGAACAAAAGCGTGTACAAACGAAAAAATATATCAACGATACCATTGTTGATATGTTGGAGTAGTTTTGTGCTACTCTGATGTAATGCAGTGACATCGCTATGTTAATTGGACTATATTTTTTATATGAATTGTAGTTAATTTTGGAGTACTCCTTGGTCCTTAGGGAGTACTCTTTACATGCATGCGTGGAGTAGTCGCGAATTTTGCAGGGCAAGTTAAATAAAAGCTTGTAAAAAATAAAATAATTTTCANGATATGTTGGAGTAGTTTTGTGCTACTCTGATGTAATGCAGTGACATCGCAATGTTAATTGGACTATATGTAGTTAATTTTGGAGTACTCCTTGGTCCTTAGGGAGTACTCTTTACATGCATGCGTGGAGTAGTCGCGATTTTTGCAGGGCAAGTTAAATAAAAGCTTGTAAAAAATAAAATAATTTTCGGGTTTAATAGCCGCTGTACGTACCTTCTAATGCTTTTTCCAGGTTTTTGAGGTGCTCATTTGACTGCTTCTTTTGCTGGAATAGATTTTCGATGATTTGTGCTTGTTTTGTAATTTCAGTCTTTTGCGTTTGGATGGTACTTTCGAGCAATTTCGTGGCAGTGTAGTATTTTTGCTTGATCTGAAAAAAATCTCCGAAGATAATTTAGGTAGGCCTTCTTCTTAAGTAAAGCCATTCTAAGAGGCCTACCCAAGAAGGGCTGCCTTCTAGAAGGGCTTATCCAATTACAATTTACGCGAATGCATAAATTTATATTATTTGACATTGCAAATGAATTTTAATAAACATTTTAAGTTGCAATAACACATATTTGATATAAACCTTAAGCAAATACTGCAAAGGCCTTCCATGGGTAGCGAAAGAAGAAGCACCTTCAATTTGAGCCACTCCATATAAAAAAGAAAGGAGAAAGGAATGTAGAGTGGAAGGCCTCTTAACTCTCAGGAAGGCCATTCAGAAGGGCTGTTAACTCCGGAAATTATCTACTGGGAGAACAAAATAGGAAAAACAGAGCATTTTCTTAAAAGAAGTAANGAAGGGCTGCCTTCTAGAAGGGCTTATCCAATTACAATTTACGCGAATGCATAAATTTATATTATTTGACATTGCAAATGAATTTTAATAAACATTTTAAGTTGCAATAACACATATTTGATATAAACCTTAAGCAAATACTGCAAAGGCCTTCCATGGGTAGCGAAAGAAGAAGCACCTTCAATTTGAGCCACTCCATATAAAAAAGAAAGGAGAAAGGAATGTAGAGTGGAAGGCCTCTTAACTCTCAGGAAGGCCATTCAGAAGGGCTGTTAACTCCGGAAATTATCTACTGGGATATGCCTACAGACACATACATAGTAAATTTGTATTCTAGATTTACAAGTACCTGAAACTGTAATGTAGCGTTATTGGATGTTAATTTATAAATGGAGAACAAAATACGGAAAACAGAGCATTTTCTTAAAAGAAGTAGGTCTCAAAAATAAGATGGAAAGTTGTCAGGCTTTTAGATGAAGCAGGGTGTAATTTGCTTAAATTGTTAAAATAACAAAAAAAAATTAAAATGTTCGTTATAGGCGAATTCATAAATATTTAAACTTTCTCGTACATTTCATGTATTTTTTTACCAGGACGGGTAGCTAAAAGAGAGCTCACTGTACGGAAAAAGGGAACTGATAAGAACCCTACGCTAATTTAATTATTAAAACGCCTTTACTTATATATTTTTGAGTTTAGTTGCCGAGATCGCTTTTATTTAAATTCGTTCGCTGGAAGTATGTATATCATAAAAAGAGTTCCCCAACTACTAGCTAACAAGTTATAGCGACGTCGAAACCATCCAGAAGATGAAGATGAAGGTCTTCATCTTCATCATTATCTTCATCCTTGTCTTTTTTATTTATCTTTAATTTTGTCCTGTTCTTTATCTTTATCATAGGCTTGATCCTTCAATATAGGTTGTGAGTGTCTTTGCTTTTGTCGTCNCTCACTGTACGGAAAAAGGGAACTGATAAGAACCCTACGCTAATTTAATTTATCTCNCGAGATCGCTTTTATTTAAATTCGTTCGCTGGAAGTATGTATATCATAAAAAGAGTTCCCCAACTACTAGCTAACAAGTTATAGCGACGTCGAAACCATCCAGAAGATGAAGATGAAGGTCTTCATCTTCATCATTATCTTCATCCTTGTCTTTTTTATTTATCTTTAATTTTGTCCTGTTCTTTATCTTTATCATAGGCTTGATCCTTCAATATAGGTTGTGAGTGTCTTTGCTTTTGTCGTCGCCCTTGTCTTTGTTTCTGCCCTTGTATCTTGCTCTCTGTATTTTCATTACCCACTACACAGTGGCGTTAAAAATTCAATGCAGCCACCAGCTGTCTATTCGTGCATGCGCATACGCATACGCAAATATTAAGTTTTATTTTCTGAGCAAAAAATAAAACTCAAGAAATAACGATTATTTTCCGAGCAAAAAAAATAAAACTTAAAACGTAACCATTATTTTCCGAGCAAAAAATAAAACTTAAAAACGTAACGATTATATTCCGAGCAAGAAATAAAACTCAAAACATAAGATTATTTTCTTTTTATTTTATTTTATTTTCATTTCCTCATCAGACTTCTGNCTTGTCTTTGTTTCTGCCCTTGTATCTTGCTCTCTGTATTTTCATTACCCACTACACAGTGGCGTTAAAAATTCAATGCAGCCACCAGCTGTCTATTCGTGCATGCGCATACGCATACGCAAATATTAAGTTTTATTTTCTGAGCAAAAAATAAAACTCAAGAGATAACGATTATTTTCCGAGCAAAAAAATAAAACTTAAAACGTAACCATTATTTTCCGAGCAAAAAATAAAACTTAAAAACGTAACGATTATTTTCTTTTTATTTTATTTTATTTTCATTTCCTCATCAGTTTTCTTNTAAAACTTAAAACGTAACCATTATTTTCCGAGCAAAAAATAAAACTTAAAAACGTAACGATTATATTCCGAGCAAGAAATAAAACTCAAAACATAAGATTATTTTCTTTTTATTTTATTTTATTTTCATTTCCTCATCAGACTTCTGCAGCGGGATTCGAACCGACGACCCCAGCTGACTCAGCCAGTGATTTTTGGTAATTTTTCTAAGGGCTCCCTAGGGTCCCATAGCGGTCCTAGGCGGTAGGGGACTTAACCATCGCCCATTTAAAAAAGCCAACAAAATTTAATTTTTATATTTTTAGATATTTTTAAATTTGATATTGATTTTTTTTTTGTGATTTTATTCGCGATGGTATTTGATATCGCTACGATATTGTACATAGCCTCATTTCTTTAAAAAATTACAGACATGTACTTTGAAATAAGGAACAAAATTCAAACTATTATTGGCACCCCAAAATCAACAAAATAGCCCTGTCGGCTCAAAAAATGTTCTTATAAGTTAATAATTTCTTGTGCCATTTGTAAAACTTGTGAGCAGACTAATTACTTTCATATTTTACTAACAGATTAGTGATAAGTATTGTTCGCTTACCTCAGCTACGGTACTTGAGTTATATAAAAGATTCCGATAATTTTGTATTTCGTTTTCGAGGTTTTGTATCGTTTTTCGAGAGCTGTTATTCAGGGAACGCAATTCATTATTCTCCTAAAAAGAAAATCGCAAGAGCTATGTATATAAATACACATTAGCATGGGCCGAAAATCCGCTTTTTTAGAATTTTGATTGGTAATAGCAAAAATATGGTTCATTATGCTCTAAAAAATATCTGTGTGAATTTGGTCAATATCCTAGGCTCGCACAAGTCCAAGTACTAAAAAAAAAATTTTTTAGCTCACTTCAATTCTCTACAAAAAAGGTCAATATACCTAATTATGTAGGACTAATACTTTAGAAGATTATTGCAATTTTAGTAAAAACATGTATTACTTAATTTATTAATTTTAATTTATTGAACTTTGATGGACTTGGGCGAGCCTAAGATATTGACCGAAAATTGTCATATTTCACACAGATTGTTTTTAGTGCATAGTGAACCATATTTTTGCTATTACCAATCAAAATTCTAAAAAAGCGGATTTTCGGCCCATGCTAATACACATAAATTTTTGTCATTGAAAACGATGATTGCACCCGTTTTGCTCAACTTACCGCTTCCAGAGAGTCTATTTGTTTTTTAACGTTCAATAATGCATCGTTCGAAAACTTTTCCCTCGTGGCATCATCTCTGGAGTCTCCCTTTATTTGATCAGTAGTTCCTTTAAGAACTTCCAGTTTCGTATTAATTGCTTTATTCTCAGCCAATATGTCCTCAATTTGATTTCTTAGAATATGTTGCTCATGCTGCATTTGAAGTCGTCGATTGCATTGGTCGTGTTAAGATCGTAGTAGAAAAATTTTAGCAAGTCGCTGACATCTACGCGTGCTTTTTGTATGATGTTAAAATCAATTTGATTATTTTGACATACCTTAAAAAGCTCCAAGTCAGTTTGTGTTTGGCTAATTAAGTTTTCACAGGTTTTCTTGATTTCGGCTAAATACCTGAAAGATTTTATGTGACACTTATTAAAAGGTGTTTTCATTAATATTATTTAATAAATTCATTGTTTACATGTAGTTGCCTGGTTCTTCAAGATTAGTTTTATCGTCCCGCGTCATTCTGACACATATAACGCGAAATTGGTTTCGGATGAATTTGAAACTTTTATAAGTGAAAATAAAAATATACTTTTGTACCTGTACGTTTTGTTTATCGACAATTTTTAGAAGGAAGGAACTTTAGGCTATCCATGTTAAGGCATAAGCACGAAATCAACCCCAAATGAGAAAATTTTTTGATACAAGGTGCGTCGTTATGGTAACACATGTGCAAACTTAGTAGGTAAACATTAAACACTTTAAATTAAAAAACAATCATGCCGCTGTTTGCGAAAAAGTTCGAATCGAAGCCTATACCAAGTCGTTTGGCCCGTTGCAACATTGGATGTCCTGCTATAAGTGAGGATCTTGAGGATTTCAAGAATATCTCGCTTAACTTGGGAAATAAAGAACTACGTTTCGCTGATGGTATTTGGATACATTCCACGCGGAAATCTGATACTGATGACATCCTCCGCTTAAATCGACGTATAAGGAATCTTGAAGAAGAGAATAATTTATGTATGCTTAAAATAGAAATATTTTTGGACCTGTTAGCTGAGCAAACCACCGAGTTGAATGCTCTTAAGTTGAGGGATAAGTAAATGTTTACAATAAATTTAACATACAGTACAAAGTAAGTGCACATATCGTCGCTACCATGTCAAAACATCGAATGTGAAAATAAGTACTTTCCAAAAAAGCTGTTGTAAAAAATGTTGTTCGTCATTAGGAAAAAGTGTGTCATTCGACACTTTGTTAAAGTTAGTATCATCATCTGCTTCTAAGACGACTAGAAATTCGACAATTTGCCAAGATATGTATCATTCTTAACGCATACGCAAGGTATCGTAAATGAAAAAGCATTTTTGCATATTTGATAATTTGACATGGTAGCGACGATATGTATGTATTTAAAAATAAATATTAGTGGATATGCTTTCAATGCAAGGCAGAAGTGAATTATCGCGTCCACTTTGTATTTTAATGATGTGTCTTTAGCGGGCAAAAGTTCCACAAATGGGTTCGAATAATTTATGGTACATATGGCATAACATAAATTTGGGTAAATAGGTAAATAACTTTATTTTTATATTGAGAAACACGTGTACATAATGTGTACTGACAATTGCATGCATATTTTACTTTATTTAACTTCTAATGTGCGTTGAAATGCTGCTAAAGCCAAAACTTTTATTTTAGTATTGATGCGTGGCGGATGCGGGAAATCGTACTCGCGCGCAGGTAAATTGCACATCTGCCTTCGCAGTTTTAAATCTTGACGAGCACTTAGAGCGCGACTATGAGTTCCACAAGCGTTTGATATGAGCTTTTGTCTTTCTAAACGCTGCATTCGCTCGCCTATCTGCAAACAAGCTAACGGTTGTAAACTCTCTAAGTTGAACGAAATGTCGTCGATTTCATCCAACGGTTTTTGGCCCATCATTTCCTTTTTGACCTCAGTAATTTCTCTGGGATCTTTACAAATACCGTCCTTGTTTTCTGCAATATCGCATACTGTTGCNATATTTGATAATTTGACATGGTAGCGACGATATGTATGTATTTAAAAATAAATTTTAGTGGATATGCTTTCAATGCAAGGCAGAAGTGAATTATCGCGTCCACTTTGTATTTTAATGATGTGTCTTTAGCGGGCAAAATTTCCACAAATGGGTTCGAATAATTTATGGTACATATGGCATAACATAAATTTGGGTAAATAGGTAAATAACTTTATTTTTATATTGAGAAACACGTGTACATAATGTGTACTGACAATTGCATGCATATTTTACTTTATTTAACTTCTAATGTGCGTTGAAATGCTGCTAAAGCCAAAACTTTTATTTTAGTATTGATGCGTGGCGGATGCGGGAAATCGTACTCGCGCGCAGGTAAATTGCACATCTGCCTTCGCAGTTTTAAATCTTGACGAGCACTTAGAGCGCGACTATGAGTTCCACAAGCGTTTGATATGAGCTTTTGTCTTTCTAAACGCTGCATTCGCTCGCCTATCTGCAAACAAGCTAACGGTTGTAAACTCTCTAAGTTGAACGAAATGTCGTCGATTTCATCCAACGGTTTTTGGCCCATCGTTTCCTTTTTGACCTCAGTAATTTCTCTGGGATCTTTACAAATACCGTCCTTGTTTTCTGCAATATCGCATACTGTTGAATCCTTTTCCGTTGAGGCCTTTTTGTTGATTTCTTTAAATTCTTCGGCCAATTTTTGTTTGGATTCTGTTAATAACTGCTTTGCATAGCTTTCTCCTGCCATGCACAGTGATATCCCCATATCTAGTATAATACGATGTGGTTGCCATTTTTGCTTTGCTGTCGTTAGCTGTTCGGTGGCTCCAGGAGCAGCATTTTCTGCTTGAAGTTTCGTCTCTGCAATTAAGGAGGCCCAGTCAACGCCTAAAGCGTCGCCAACACCTAAAATAAGTATGAAAACATATTTAAAGGGAAATCGCAGGGTGTATTCTGAAAAATGTTTACCCTTGGTTCTAGAATCTTCCTCCAATTCTCCATCTGAAATTTCTTCAAAATCAAGCATTTCATCATCGTCGTGTTTGTCTCCTATGACTCCATTAGCGGTATCATCATTGCTGCGAGTAAAATCATCCTGTTCTGAAATACCATCAACTTTCATGGTAGAATCCTCGTCTGTCTCAGTCCGATACTTCTTCTCCCCTTTGTTGAGAATATCGTCATCGCTGTCGCTTATTTCACTTAATTCTCCACTCGCTCTGGCGTCAATCATTGCCGCATTGCTCAAAACTGAGAAAGGATCACATTTCTTATATATGACGCCCGTATCCAGTTTCCTATTGACATCAGCATCATGTAAAATTTCCCCAGCTTCTGGTTTATCGTCGATAATAAAGATGTCGTGCTGTTGTCGTAAGCACGTAGCTTGTCCCAGTATGCTTGGATTAGTGGTAGCGTTTGCAGCGCTCTGAGCCGCAGCTTTCGCAGCTGCGACAGCTGTGCTAGCCGCCGCTACAGCGCTAGCTTGGGCAGCTGCCTTGGCAGCGGCTGCAGCAGCGTGTTGTTTTTTAATTAGATTAGGGTTTGTATAAGTCATTTTGCTTTTGTTAGGGAATCTTGGGTTTCCTCCAAGAAATCCTGTTGCGGGTGGTTGAACGGGCAACGTCATTAAAGGTGGTGGATGCATCCTTAGCCCCTGCGCATTCCTCTCCGCGTGATCTGACCCCACCGCGCCACCACCTCTTCGAAAATTTCTTCCACCACGCTCGCTGCGAGGATGATGTAGAGATGATGGCACACTACCACTACTTCCATTGCCGCCCATCCTCTGCATTGTTTCTTCATCTTCGCGCCAGTCGTTTTGCCAACGTCGATCTAACCCTTCCGGCCGTGGTGCTGGTACAGCTTTTTCCCGCGATGGTTGTATGTCATGATGCTCGCGATCACCCCAGGTATCTCGTTGCCCCGGGCCTAAACCAAAATTAGGTGCATCACGTATAATTGTTGACTCTGGTTTATTTGTATTGGACCCAGAATTTTTTTGTATTTCCTCTGTGTCCCAATCAGGCTCTGAAGGCGCTCTTTGTTCCCGAGGTGGTAGCTTTGTGGGACCCGTGATAGAGCCGCCGCCTATTATGGCTGCATTTCGTTTAGGCCCACCTACAAAACCTCCACGACCAGTTATTGGTGGCGTGTCATTCCAATCTTGTTCTCTAGTAACGTCCCATTCGCCCTTCCATTCCTCACGTACCCGTTCCCTATTCCTGATCAAACGTTCCCTTTCATCCGGATAAATAAGTTCGTGCCCTATTTCTCTAAATTCGCGAGTGTCTCGGGTATCGCGTTGGTCTCTGGCATGTATATCTCTGTCCATAATTTCACGCGGCCAAGGCCCATCTCGATCCCGCCCGAGATGAGCTTCATCGATAAAAGCTCGGTTGAATGCCCTTTAAAAATGGTGTATAGATTAAAATAAAATTCGTGAAAACAGTAGGTCATAAGTACCTATCCCGATCTTCTTCCGCATATAGATCGCGTGGTTCCCTCAACCGGGCCGAGTAATGTTCACTTACTGGGCTCAGTTCTCGTCGTCTTGTTGGTAGATATTCGCGTTCGCGTCGTACATCTTCACGATGAAGTAAAGTGCGTCTCTCGGTCTCAATATATTCACGCTCTCTCTCATATACATCCAAATCACGTTTTGACAATTGTCGATTTCTCTCAATAGCTTCCAAGGAACGCTCACGGCTATTGTAGCCTCGTGAAGCCGCAATAGCTAATTCTCTTTCTGCGGGTCGAGGTAATAAGCGCTCTCCCCGATCACCACTTATTCCACCATATTTCTTTTCCTCCTCCTCTCGACGTAGCTTTTCTCTAGCCAAACGTTCTCTTTCACGTTGTCGTTCTTGACATCGCGCTAACGCCTCAGCTCGCTCTTTATCCCTTGCAGCCTCACGTTCAGCACGTTCACGTTCGCGTTCGCGTCTTTCTCGTTCTCTTAATAATTCATCATGTCGCAATTTGTGTTCATGACGTTGTCGTTCTGCTGTGGGCGAAGGTGTGCGTTCCCGGGTTCGGGTCTGAATAATAATCTTCTCGCGTGACATCATTGTGTGATGCATACGAGGAGGACTCTTCTGCCGTTTTACATCCTGGTGAATTCGAATTTTCGTTATTTTAGTTGGAGAGCGGGATCCTGTATGATGGTGTTCTCGGTCACGTTCCCTTTCCCTTGCAACAGCAACACGATGTTTTTCACGTTCCCTTTCGCGGCGTTCTTTACTTGCTGCACGTTGGTGCTTCCGTTCTGCAAGCTTTTTCAGCTTCGCTTGTGTAGTGGGAGAGAGTGACCTATGCCCAATATGGCCACTTAGAGCTGCGGCAGCAGCGGCTGCTCTTTTCTTTAATTTGGCTTCTTTTAACTTTCGTTTAAGATGAATGCGTTTAGCTTCCAGTTTTTTCTGGCAATGTTCACGTTTTTCACGCTTTCTTCGTTCTTCTGTAGAAGAGCTACTAGATCGACGGGATGCGCCAGCAGTTGCTTGGCGAGCCTTTTTTCGGCGATGGCGTTCGCTGTCTGAACTAGAATACGAGCTTCCAGAAGAATCAGACTCCGAGCTGCTAGAACTGTCCGAGCTGGACTGCTGCCTTGACTTCTTATAACGACGTAACGCATCCTTTGATCGCTTGTCCATTATTTTCCCAATAACATAAATCAGAAAACTTTCATTAGTATTTACGCAGAAAATGCAAATTTTTCACTACATAGTCATATTGCCGGACGCATTAATATGGGCGTAGAGAAAAAATGTACGAACTGTAACCATCCCATCTGGTAGCATGGTTGATAGGGTTGCCAAAAGTTGCATCTTTCATGTTACTTTTAATGCTGTGTTCGCGGACTCTTTGAAATTATGATTTCTTAGGCTATCTGCACACTTGTCGTCCAATCACAGTTGCGTTATCGTCTCACCCCATTATGCAATAATACAAGGTGGTATCAGTTGTGACAGCTCGATTTGACACTGCCTTAGCTCAGTAGAATAAGAAGAAAAACGGGAAGAAATGAATCCCGATTTGGGGGAACACACTTTCCACCATACAGTTTCGATTATAAAAAGCGGGAAAATGTGATTTGGTATTTCGAAACTGTATGGTGGAAAGTGTGTTCTAATATCTATTTGATACACAAAAAATGATCACGGCTGTACTTTTTGCTGATATATTACATACATATGTTCCATTTAGTTAAACAATATAAGAATGTTGTAGTATGTACCACAAAACCGTATATTTTCTATAAAAAATCATAACCCAGAAAAAAAAATTTTCGCTATTAGTGATTTGGGTATTGTAGTTCAAAGTGTCTCTTTCCCGGTAAAAAGTTTGAGAGAAAAAAATACACTTTTTGAGAAATTAAATAAAAAAAAAATTTGCACTTTTTGTTTATTGTTAAATAAAAAATTTTAAATAATGAAAATCAATAATTATATCA